GGTGGATAGGCCTACACTTATAATAGTAATACTATTCTAGGCCTCTATATATACATACACACATATATATAATTATATATTATATGTATATATATAGTTAATAGTATACATATAACAACAGTATATAAAACTAATAGTTAACTATTAATTGTAATTAATTAGGCTTTTTTAACCTAATATCCCTCAATAAAAGCATCAAATCATATTAAAAATATGTGTTTGTTTTATTAATTATTTTATTTTTATTTCTAAATAAGTTATTAGGGGGTAATAGTCTGGATTTCCAGAGTAAATCAGGTTATTTACCATAGCAACGAATATTAACGATAATAGGTAATTTTGGGACACACGTGACTAAAATTTCCCATGAAATTTGAAGACCTCAGCGGAAAAACCAGACATGTCACAAAATTTCATTTTTGAGTTATCCCCCTTAACCGATTCAGCTCATAATAAAGCTTCAGATGACACTGAAAACTACTGCAAAAATCACCTCATATACGAGTTATCGGGGATTTAAAATAGTGCATACTTTGGAAGAACCAGACATGTCCAGTAAAAATGTAGAAGAAAAAAATCTAAGTAACCTCCCTTAGTATCATGTGATGTGCTTAACCAATGGCAAGTAAGGAAAACGTAAATAAATAAAGAATGTAGGTCAAATGTCCAACGTGGAAATTACACAATACATTAACTGCTACTATTACTATTGTTATCTAATATAATCTTAAAGAGAAAAAAAAATGGAGAAAGAAAAAGAGGTTTAAGAAGCAAAGTTTTCTAGACATACATTTGGTAAAGATAGTCACTGTGCAATGTTTATGTGATTAGAATGAAAATGATGAACGCTTACGGGTACGATTAGGATTAAGTTTATTCGTTAGTCTACTTTGCCAGTGTATCAGTATTGTGTTTCTTAGAGTAAGCTCAGCATGCTTATTGCTTATTGTGTTATGATGTTACATTTCTGTTAAACATCGTCTCTGATAAATGATAATTGTCCAAAAAAGGCAAAAAAGAAAACAGCTGAACAAAAAGTCTGCTCGTCTCCTGCTTCATGCATCGTTTTAATCAGACCACTGACGGCAGTGATGAGAACAATACAATGATTTACAGCATATTTTGTGCTATTGCATGTGATCCTTCCCGATTAAAAGCTGTTAAATGTACTATAACTACCTTTATCTTTTCATTGTTATTGAAAATGCAGGCCATAATGTCTTTTTTTTATTTGAATGAAAATCACTACCCTTATGTACTAGTGCTAGTGTGTATAACAATAGCATAAAACAAGCATATTCCAATTTCATCAACTTCAATACCAGTTCAGGGTCATGTGTTACATATAATTTATAACAAACTGAATGGTAATGACATTGTGAAAGTATAAATTTGATATAATTTAATACATTATCATTGACTCATTGCACCAACAGTACAAGATATCAGTGGCTTGTACACTGAAACGCTGCTTTGGCTTTATATTTTTTTGTAAAAATTATAACTTTTAATTATTTTTATTTTGTAAAATAACAGGGTGTTTTCGGCCTCAATTGGTTTTATTATTAAAAGCGGTCACTTAAGTTGACTTTGTGATGAAGTAGATAAGTGTTGGCCTTTTAAAAGCCATAAAATATGGTTTAAAAAAAAGTTTTCCATTTTCAGTGGAAAAAGCAGACAAGTCACAATTTTGGGTCAGCCCGGTAAAAAGCTGTAAAAATTTAGTAAATTGTCACAAAATATTTAATAACTGATATATTTTGAAAGTAAAATGGTATCACTAACTACAAACAAAATTATAGCATTTTATTTGAACAAGTGAAAATATTGGATACTTTCAAACTTTAAAATCCACTTTTCTCAAAATCTTCAAAATGTGACATGTCTGGTTTTTCCTCTGAGGTCTTCATTTCTGACCAAACTGATGGTCCTAAATTAACAGGTCTTGGATATGTTGTAGTTAATGCCATTATTTATAAAGTCCTTGAAATTCTATGAAAGGTTCTTTTCCACACAAAAAATATGAATGAGTAAAAATTGCGTTATTTTACCTTCAATTTTCAAAGTGAAGCCCCAAAATTTTTTGGGGGACTCAAGTGTCTAATCATAACACAACATGTCTACTCTAAGTTGTGGGCGGAAATAGAATTAACATGCTGGGCTATATATAGTTAAAAAGTCGTAAACAACGTGACTCTCTGTAAATTAAAAAGTGGAGGTCGCCATTTTGACAACGAAATCACGATACCCGGTTTTCGGCACTTCCCGGATCTTACCGAAATATAAGGTTTCAAAAATCGATTAGATTGTTTAAAAAGTGCTATTTTACAGTGCACAAAGAATGTGGCTTAAATATTAGAGCAAAATTGAAAATAAAAAATACAATAAAATTATAAACATAAACGTATTCTTACTTGCTTTTAGCTTTACGTCAAATTGTTGTGTTTCTACAACGCTACCGGTTCATGAAGGTCTTCAAAATACGGCAAATTTCTCGATTGATAGTAATGGCTCTAAGATGGCAAACCAGCAGGAAGTATCCGTCATAACCAGGGCTGCCACTCACTTTTTTCAAATTTCCCAAGATGTGGTGAACAAATTTCCCAAGATTTCCCAAGATCATACAAATATATAAGAGTTTTTTTTTTTAAAGGGGGGTTTTCTATGTAATTAATGTAATAATAGATTGAATCAATGCCCCTGAAAAACATGGTATATTAATGGACTGAAATTTATTGAAAAAGACATTTAAAACATGTTTATCACATTTAAAAAAAAAAAATTTGTTTTTAAAAAAATAATTTATAATCCAAAATATCAATACCCACTGGAGTTAGGCTACTAAATATTACCTCCGAATTCTCTGATAAAAATATAATCTACAATACATGTGTAATAGAAGTCACTTGGAAAAAAAAAGCATACAAGGCTAATCAACACAGAATTCCTTTTACAAAGGCAAAAGTTTCTTCATCAAAAAATGATTTTTTATTATTGTAAATCTGTTGATTACAAGTGGGGTTTGCAAAGCAATTAAGCAAAATTTATTAATAATAATTGTAGTTAAAATGGATTGATATTACGATGAAAACAATAAGTGTTTTATTTTTTCTTGTAAAATTTACATTATAACGATTTTTTCCCCAAAAAAAAAATACTTTTAAAGGAATTGTTCATTTATAATCCTACAACGTAGGCCTATACTGCCTATACTATTAATATCTTAGTTACCCGTGTTTCAATCCACAAATATTTTTTCTAATTGATGAAAATTAGGCTGGATTTTTTACAGATGCATTATATTTTGAACACATTGTAGAAGTAATTGAAATAATAAAATTCTACTATGGCATGGATTCTTGATTGAACACTATCGTTCACTCTTTGGCTTGTACTGTTTTTCGTATGGTTGCTAATGTCTAAGAGCATAATGATAAAGTTTCCGAGCCTACCCCCCCCCCCATTTAATAAACATTCAAAACCTGGATGTAATTTGTAAATCTTCAATTTTTTTTTTTAAAGAGAAAATTGAATTTTTTTTAAAAATTATTAACTTTTTAATAATTCACAATATTAACTTTAAAATCAGAAGAGTTTTTATTTATTTTATGAGTGGATTTAAAAATTAAAACCAGAAAAGAAAATGAAAACAATTAATTTTTTGCCTTGTTACTTTAAAAATTATTTTGCTTTATTTTTACTTTATTTTTTATCAGATATTGTTGCGTTTTTTTCGAAAAATATAACAAAATTTTCCCCCCAGTTAAGATTTCCCAAGGTTTTGCATGATTTTCAAAATTATTCCCCAGATCCCAAGGGGGGTCGTGAATTCCCAAGATCTTGGGAAATTTCCCAAGGTGTGGTAGCCCTGGTCATAACCATCACGTGACCAACCGAATATTAAAAAGCCCTCACGTGACCAACCTGGTCCGAATAGCCAATTGCTACTATAGGTACCCGGGTACCTTTAGTCACTCCGAAAACATAAACTGGGAAGACGTGACTCAATCGTTAATGAGTTCCGTTGCTAAGTAAAAACAAAATATTTTATTTAAAGTTTATAAAAACGAGGATGTCTTCTAATAAAACAAAACAAAATAGTTTCATAAATTTGTTACGCATGCGTGTGGTTATTGAGGCGTATAAGATAAGATTACGTCACATCCTGTTTTGTCCACCATCTTCGTCATTGATAGAAATTAAAGACAACACCATTGTATTTCTTTCATTAAGTCTTGAAGGCTGTTATATAGGTTTGTTATAGTCTATGGATATTTTTACATAACACTAAGTAATGTGATTTAAAAATAGGTAAAAGACTGTTTAAATTTGTATCCGTATATAAATGATCTCTTGCTGATAATGACATTTTACTGTTTCGATTTTTGTAATTCTTAATTCTTCAACTCATGTCCAAATCTAGTTCTAGCAATCAGCAATCTATTCTGACTAGTTTGGGCACCTCAGTTTATAAAACACACAACCTACTTATCTGACTACTGTCTAAGAAATGTGTCACTCATCTGAACCGAGTGCTGTCCTAGGGTCTAAGCCAGGCCTTAAATTTAATTAATAAATATAATATGTAAAAGTAAATAACCATATAAATAAGTAATTACTTTAATTAGTCACAGTGTATGACTCATAGTCATACTTAAAATTTAAAACCGTAATAAAGTAGGTACTTTGTAATAAAAAAGTCAAAAAATTATCAAAGTAATATAGTATTAGTATAATAGTGCAAACTTTAAATGAAAAAAGTAAACCTAAACTAAATCAACTTTCTATTTCTATCTTTAACTTAAGTCTTTTAGTGTCTGAGCTATGAATTTACTAAGTATGACTTCGCTTGTCCTTTTTTAACATGAACCGCATCTCCACATTCTGTGATGCAATTCAGCTGTTGGCGTCGTGAGCTATAAAAATAAAACTCTTGTTTTAATGTACCGGTAATGATAATTTACAACTTTTATTTTCAGAATTAATGCTGTACTGTATTAAAAAATAATTTTAATAATGTTATAGTTATACAATTATAAATAAATCGTAACTTATCTAACCATGCATTAAGTATATCAGTAAAGTAAAAGTTTAATATAATAATGTATTGATATATGGCTTTTCTATTATAAAATCTACAGCATCCATTATACCGGTTTATACTATATAGTCTATACAAGGCAATGCATCCCCTCATTACTAAAATACTGTTTGGGGCTACTTATTTTGAACTTTCAACTTTGGCACATGACTAATTAATTAAAGCTTTCACTGACCAATGGCAATGGTTCAAAGTTTTTGCAGATGGTAAACTCTTATAAATTGAATTCTGAGATATTACTACAGTATAGCCATTATCATTCATTATGCAAGTGGCTGTGAATGGTTGCCAATGACAAGGGAAAATTATGATCATTTATAATATGGTCTCTAACCGGTTTTCAAAGCTCAAATTAAAATATTCCATGTTAAATGTCTTCAAAATTCATCCTGAAACACAAGTTATCAAAAATTTTGATGTATAGTGATAATAATTGAATATTTCCTAAGCTAAGTATCAGTGTCTTCCGCCATTTAAAAGTGGGCATAGTCACTAATCCAAAATGGCCTCTAACGCGACCTTTTCATAATGAGGTCTAAATTGAGGAGAATTGTGAAAATGTTTTATGAGCTGGCACAATGAAATGTTGCATACATGTACCTCAATATACTTTGCTGGCATCCAATTAGTATGAAAGACATACTTAAAATATTTTGATAAAGTTTTTACATTGAAAGATGCCTTATATTGACATACGATTTTGCTCAATTAAAGTTGATATAAACAACAAAAAAACTCAATGTCAATGCCAGTCAACATGTCTCCTAATGTGAAAGGGCAGAGACCTTAAGTATGGGCCAAAAAGGACTCCTGTATTATTAAAATTACACTCACATAAAAAAATAAAAAATTGGATTCCATTGCGCAGACGCCTATTTCCAATACAAATTACGTAGCCCTTTTGCCCTTCAAAATTTGTATGGGAATCGGTGCAGCCGAATGTGATTTTTTTAGTTTTTGGACATTGGTGTTTTTTGATTGATGAAGAAAGGGCTATTTCTTCATAAAGATGGGGTAGTCAACCACATGTTCACAGTAGTGGACATCTTGGGCAACATTTCGGTGTCATTTTTGCCTTTTCAATCAACCACAATAGTAGAGATTCTTAGGGATATATAACATCTTTCCCTAAAAATGTTTTGAAGAAGTTCAAAATCTATGTCTTTCACATTAAATCTTCCTCAGCATTAGATTATAGATTTATGTATATGTGTAGCCTGAATATTGACTTAGGGTAAGCCTAATAATCAATAGGATGTTTCAGCTAATAGCCTTCATAATCAAAAGCAACAGAGAATAAAATCAGAACTTATTCAGAAGATTTTCAACTCCCTAATTTTATTTTAACATGCTTGTGATAGCATTTTTTGTTAAAGATTGCTACAAAATGGTTAAATCCTGGATTTTTTCCCCAATTAAAACACTATTCAAAATAACAGTACTGGCAATTATGATCTGAGATAAAGATATCAAGTTTATTCATTATTGTAATTCCAAGTTTAAAAATGTTTCGGATATAACTTTTTGTTCCAAGTATTTCATAAAATCAAAATAGAAAGAATTACAAACTTTTTGTTTGCCTAATACTCATCATACTGATTACCATAAGAGTAATTTATTTCTTTGAATCACTTCCTTGTTGGTGATTAATATAAGACCCCTTTCAAGAAACGGTTAATAAAAAAAGTATAAATATAACTTCAAGTATTCTGAATAGGAAATGATGAATAAAATAGGAAGCATCATAGGGATGATGTCATTTTTTTTTTTTTTATCCATTGATTTTCAATTCAGTTATTTTCATGAACACATTGTGTTTAAACATTTTCACTGAAGCTTAAAGCAAAATAGTTCACTTAAAATTTGCAAAACATTTATTTTCATCATTGCTTGAATAATTTAGATGGGTAGGTTAATTATTAAAATAAGGGAAAGACTATTGAAAGGTGTGTGATAAATTTAATATGCCTGTTTTCATTTAATTATTCTGCAGCTTGAAGCAAGGGGACGGTGAGAGGCTAAAAATAAAGAATGGAACTGTTGTCATCTTTTCAAGAGATAAAGGGTTAGCTTCACCCTGGATCGTATATTTCAACCCCGTCGGACGCCCTCAAAAAAACGAGACAGTGATGGCTTATCGGCATCATCAGGGGCGTCACGAGGGTCAGAGAAAAACAAGGCCAGCTCAACATTCTCACTGTCACGTCTGTTACCATCTCGCAGGCGGTCTAAGTCTCGACTCAGCTTAGATTCGGAGCCATCTAGATCAGATGGTGGAGCATGCGGCACCCAGGTGTCGCCACCACATTCAACCGGCAATGTCCATTCATCACCAACTCCACCATCAGCAAGCATATCTCAGCCTATTCCATCAGTGCACCTTCAATGTTCCAATAATGCCCAGAGTGAAACCTGCTTCACTCTTGAAAGTATCCCATTGGAGAAGATTGTTCTCGAAGAAGTTTCAACAGACTCGGCCAACGGAGAATGTGGGAATTCATCCCAAGGGGAGGAGAAAGGGGTTGTGTTGGTGGAGTGCCCTGTGTGCCTTGTAGAGAAATCAAAAGATTTCTTCTTTGAATTTTCCACATGTCATCACAGATGTTGCTCAAGTTGTCTTAGAGAATATTTTAGAGTAAGTAATTTTCTTTCATTTTTTTAAAATTAAATAGCAGCGATTTAAAAGAAAATAAATTTGTGATTGTGGCAGATTGGGCTCAGTCAGGGGTGCCACTTTTCCGGGTTATCCCGGAATTCTGGATTCGTGAGTCTAAATATTTTTCAGTTCCGGATTCGCGAGTTTTTATATTCTCTCATTCCGGATTCGCCAGTTCAATTTATTCAAATACGGATTCTGTCTGGGTTTAAAAGAAAAAAATCAAAGTGTAACAGAATTCGCGAAAAACCTTGAAAATGGACGTAAATCGCCGATCACGTCTATTTTTAGCCTTTCTGTTGTCAGAGCGCTAGTGATTTCCCCTCGCGCATGCGCTTTGAGCTTTACACTACTTGTTTCCAGTACCGTACTACTTCGATAGACCAGAAATATTTATTTTCTGTTCACGTCACCGATCAAGAGATATTTGAAGTGTTTGGGTAAGCAGAGTGTAAAATTTAGTAAATAATCTTGCAAAATCTTTTTAATTTAGTTTTAAATTGTTGGGTAGCCACTATCACAAATAGAAAACTACTCGTCCAAGCGTTGCCTAACAAGACTAAGCTTAGCGTACTTTGTTATGTTTTACTGTATGCAGGCTACATGTATTTTTTTTTTATTAGAAGAGCTAAGCGTCGTTTACCTTTTTAAAAAAGACTTCTTAAGTTAACTTTACATTTAATTACGGAGTAAGCCTTCTAATTTTGATTAGACTAATATGTTTAAGTTATTTTTATCCGTTCTGTAGTGAGCCTGACATAACTGTACTTAGTGAGTCTTTATTTATTAGTTATGCGCGCCTGTGTTCTGACTCTGGGTATACTTTAGTATTTATTAGTCTTTACAATTTACAGTAATTCTACTATTAAGTCTATTACTAATTTAATTATTCATAATGCTCTGTATTGCTGTAGTTTATTACTGGTATAATATAGTCTATATTTTTTATTATCTATGCCTTACTATAAATTATAAATCTAATATGATAATATATTTTATTTTGTTTCAATATTCAGGATCTAGGCTCAATAAAATAATGTAATGCCCAACAGTTCCTTTAACTTAAAAGAACTGATGGGCATTGCAGTTAGCCTACAGTCTACAATTGGCAATCATGATTAAATAATTCATCAATGAATACTATGCTGGAAATATTGATATGAAGTATTCAAGGGGAGATTGTCTGAGTCAATCATCTGATGATACCAGCTTTATCACCTATCTTAGGTTTCCACTTCTGTAACTTCTCAATTTATGAAATTTATGTGTCAAACTATGAAACTCTCACACTTGGGATATTTTATAGAGACTAATCACTAAAGTATGTTGACTCAAACTATCCATTTTCATCATTAAAGAAGAGAACATGAACTCCATATAAGAAAATATGCTTTCCACTTGTGGTAGCTATACATTTGTTCCAAAATGCCCAGGGAACACAATGCAAAAGTTGACTTTTCAAGTCTAAGTAAATTGAAAAATTGTTACTGCAAAGAAATTTAATAAATATTTACATGTATACACCTTAATTGTTTAATTTTGTTCATTTGTGATGTATCTCAATGTTTTATTTGACAATTTCCTGGTTGTTTTTATATTATTCAACAAAAATGCCGCATTGCGATAATCAGGAATTTTGAGTTTCATTAAGTTTCAGGGATTGAAAAATTTGTAAATGAAGTTTCAGGTTTCAAGAAATTTTTAGAAAGGGATTTCAGGGTTCACCGCTTTCAGTGAGTGGCACCCCTGGGCTCAGTGTTTAATGCATGTTCTTTTTTTATATATATAAAACAAATTTAATGAGATTTTTAAACAATTTTCCTGCACTAGGTCACCAAAACCAAAATAGGCTGGGTTTCTTTTTTTGTGTAATTGTACCAGTTACAAATGCCAATAAATCAACTTTTGATTTAAAAATAAAAAGCAAAGGCTATCATCAAAAATACTTCAAAAAAGTTTTAAACCAACCATTAGTTTACAAATACAGGTTATGTTTTATATCAATTGGTTTATTTTAATAAATTCATTGTCTTAGATATAATTTTTTTAGTAAAAGTTTTTTGCTCACTTTTTAAACCATCGTATATTTCAAGTTGATCAGTAGCCAAGTAGGTAACAAACAGCCTTCATGTATAACACCATTTCAAAAATAACATTTTTAGATTGAGATAATGGAATCTCGCCTTGCGATAGCCTGTCCTGAGTGCTCAGAGTTGTTCCACCCTAATGACATTCGTGCCGTTGTTCAAGATGATGTTCTCATGCAGAAATATGAAGATTTTATGCTCAGACGTGTGCTGGCTATGGATTCTGATACCAGGTGGTGTCCAGCTCCTGACTGTGGGTAAGTCAAAATTATCTACAAATGTTAGTCCACCAACTATAGTTGAAAGTGGACAAGGTAATTGTTTAGCTCAAAGAAACATAATGGTTACATTTTTGCTGGCTCTTCTGCTTTAATTAGTAAAAACTTTTACCATCAACATTTTGCATTTCTCATTCTCCACAAAAAGTTTCAAGTGACATAGCAGATATATATATATATATATATATATATATATATATATATATATATATCTATATCTATCTGTGTGCGTTGGGTATAGTCAATGTCAAGACTGCTCAATGTTGATGCATTATGCTATCTATTTTGTATTTCTCTTTCTCCACAAAAAGATTCAAGTGACAGAGCAGATATATATATATATATATATATATATATATATATATATATATATCTATATCTATCTGTGTGCGTTGGGTATAGTCAATGTCAAGACTGCTCAATGTTGATGCATTATGCTATCTCTTTCTTACAATTGTCCTTGACAGTTACGCTGTTATTGCCTATGGGTGTGCTGGTTGTCCAAAGTTGAAGTGTGAAAGAGACGGGTGTGATACCTACTTCTGTTACCATTGTAAGCAGTACTGGCATCCTAACCAGACATGTGATGCAGCAAGAGCTGAGCGGTCCCCAAACAATCGGTCATCATCTGTTAGCTATAGTCAAGAGTCCGGTGCTCAGAGTAAGAGCTGGTTTAAAAATTGTTGTTGTTGAATGTGGCTTTACACCCTTTTAATGGTTATGAAAATAATTTGATTATTAGTATAAATACTAGTATTTCATTCCCCTGGTTTTTCAAGAAGTCATACTATGTGAGACCTGTTACTAAATTTTAAAATTAATCATTAATCAGGAAACGTGTTATGGTGAAGCTTTGTGAGATTAATTAATTAAAGCATTGTTGTTGATACACAGTTATCACCATCATTTGGGAATCGGAGTTAAAATGTTTTAAAATTTGGATCAATTCAAGGCAAATTCACAAGGTTAATTACTTAAACTTTTATCATTTAAACAGATATTCACCATAGCCCCTTGGCTCTTTTTTTTTTTTTTTTTAAAAAAAGATCCCTGCCGTATTTATTGTTTTATTACTTTGTGTGGCTATTGAAAGAAGCAAGAATGTTAAAATTAAATGATTCTTTTTTCAAACTTTTTAGATATTCACCATAGCCCCTTGGCTCTTTTTTTTTTTTTTTTTAAAAAAAGATCCCTGCCGTATGTAGTGTTTGATTACTGTGTGTGGCTATTGAAAGAAGCAAGAATGTTAAAATTGAATGATTCTGTTTTCCAACTTTTCAGATGAGATCAAATCCTGCCCTCGCTGTGGTGCCTTCATTGTCAAGATGGATGATGGTTCCTGCAATCACATGACATGTGCCGTGTGTGGTGCAGGTTTCTGCTGGCTGTGTATGAAGGAGATCTCAGATCTTCATTACCTAAGGTACTGATCTTCTCAGATCTTCATTACTGTTACAGATGCATCTGCATGAACATTTGAATTTGATAAAAGTAACTTATGCTTAAGTTGTGGCAAAATGGATTTAGTTTTCTGGATGTGACATCACAAGAAAAGTCTCACATCAATAATATTATTTAAATTTAGCATTTTTCTTGATGATGGCCAAACACTTCTACATCTAAATTGATATGATAAATCTTAATTGGAAAGTGCGCACATTTTTCAATGGATCCAATTTTAAATTTTTTATCTTGTTAATTAATCTAATTAATCTCTGGCAAATGTATATAACCTGCCATCCGTTTCCTTTGCTAATTAATCTCTGGCAAATGTATATAACCTGCCATCTGTTTCCACAGTCCATCTGGATGCACATTTTGGGGGAGAAAACCCTGGAGCAGGAAGAAAAAGATTTTGTGGCAGCTGGGAACGCTGGTGGGAGCTCCGGTTGGAATAACATTGGTAGCTGGAATAGCTGTGCCGGCTATGATTATAGGAATACCTGTTTGGGTGGGCCGTAAGGTAAATAGTTATGACGTTTAGGGTTGTTGCTTGGTCAGTTAATCCCTTTGAATTTATTGATAATCTGTCATGTTTTGTTTGTTTTGTAATGGGTTTTTTCCCAAACCTAACTGGTAAAGTTATGACATCGCTATACTTGGAAATGTAAAGTCATCTAGAGGAGAATTTTTAAATAAGGTCAATTTGTCAGGAATAATTATTTTGTTCATTTTTTGGTTTTATTTTGTTAACATTTAGCATTTGGGACATGCTAATAATCAATACAAAGATAAAAATTGATTGCAAGATTTTGTTGAGCTGCACACAGATGAGATAAAGGGATTTCCTTTTTTTTTTTTTTTTTTTCCAGATTCACTATCGATTTGAAGGAACTTCCAAACATAAAAGGAACCTAGCCATAACTGGAGGGGTGGCTGCTTCAATTTTAGCTGCACCTATAATAGCTGGACTAGCTGTTGGTAAATGATTGTGTTAATTATATAAAATCTTAATTCTTGTTATTTATTATTACAGTGAATTAATATCTAACAAATAGAGTTTTCAATTGTACATTTCTTCTGATTTTTAAATGAGTTGTATATTATATCTTGCATAGAGACTGCATCTCAAAGGAGATATTAGATAAAATGATTAAGGCAGTCTTTTTACCAATCTCAAAGCAACACATTTTGACAACTGAAAATTAATGTTAAGAACTGAATTTTTCTAAATTTTTGGAACATTAAAAAAATCTATTTGACTAGTGTTTTGTTGTTTGATGTGAGCTCATTTAGTTGTCATTAAATCTTTTTGGGATCCCTTGAGCGGGGAAGTGGGGGGGGGGGGGGGGGGGGGGGGGGGGGGGAGTTTAGTCAGTATAACCCATGCTCAACTGATTATATAGATAAAATTCTTTAACACAAATATAATAAAATAATATTCTTATGCTTAGTTTTATAAACTGTTATAAAATTATTTATGATAAATATAACAAATTCTTTATCTCAAATTCAAACATTTTTTTTTACTTATTGATTTGTTTTATTGTTGTTTTTTTTACATATTTTTAACATCATTATTTTGTACCCATTGTCAACATCATTAAGATTTCTGACCTTCATTTTCTCACCTAAGGTATAGGTGTGCCCATACTGTTGGCATATGTTTATGGTGTTGTCCCATTCTCTCTTTGTCGAAGTGGGGGCTGTGGTGTAACAACTACAAACACAGGTGGTGTACGGTTTGAGTTCGATGAACATGATGAGAACAACACCCATGGGCCTTACAGCACTGCAGGTAAATTTATCCCATAGATTCTAGACTGTGTTTGCTGGGACTGCACCATGCAGTAAATGCCATTGAACGTCTAGGGACTCTGCTCCCCAGCCTGGTTAACTAATTATAAGAGGGTAGGAATGCGATAAAGCTTTTAAGTAGATTAATGAAACACAATTTGTGTAACTAAAACTGCACAAAGTGTAAGTTGTATTATTTGCAGACAACGTACTAATTTAATGTTTTGACTAATGCCTTCGGTGCTACAGCAGAATAACAGAAAATATGCCATTTAAATTCTACATGATATCTATACATTTCAGCAAACTCCATATCTGCAAAAATATTTGCTCTAGTGCCTTATCATGCTTTTTACAAACATGTTTTTTTCTATGGCAGATTGAGAGATGGTTCATGTCTGTTGAATATCTACAGTAGAAAACATTGTCCACTGATTATAGTTTAATCTGTTGGATAGTTTTTTTCCTATTCGAACAGTTTTATAAATATCTAGCACATAAATCTAATTATTGTTTCATCTTTATTTCCAGGTGACAACCATAGTCTAGAGACAGCCCCTAATGTTGCCAACCCTAGCATAGCCACCAGCATTGGTGAGACTAGCCTTGGCATGACCAACAGGTGGGCTGTTGTGGAACTGTCTTACTTAAATTGGATATGCTTGGGCCAAATCATTGTTGAAATAGAGGTTTAGAGGTTTGGTTTCCTTGCAAATAAGGTCCACATCAATTATTTATCCCTTGTGAAAAAGAAATGTACTTCTAGGTCAACATTTAACTTTTTAATTTGTATTTGATAATTTAAAATTCACAGGGTAAAATATTTACACTAAAATTTATGACATCACAGAGTCTTGCATCCTTAATTTTGTATCTGGCTATCTATGAAATGATACAACTTTAGAAATAATTAAGTATTGCACTTCAGAAAAATAGGTTAAACTTTTTAATAAAATTTTAAAAACTTATTAAACTTTTAATATAAAATAACAAAACATTTGTATAAATATTGATTGTTACCCTAAGCCTTGAAATGATCCATAATTTCTTCAGCTTGAGTGCTAGCGGCAGCCACATTGACAGGGCAGGCATACTACGTGATGACAGTGACAGGGATTCATCCAGCCATAGAGCAATAGCCGGAAATAGCATCAATGGGAGTCTATGTAGTGCCACATATGGAGCACAGCACCACAAGTAAGTGTCCTTGAAACAAGGTGGTCATGTTGTACTGATAGGAGCACCCGGTGGCCTTGTGAGTAGTTGGTTAACCCTTTATGGGGCAGAGGTACTTCCTCTTGCATCTCCTGAACAGGCACCACTTCTCCGGTTTTTAGTAAGATTTAGGGTTACGTTAGTTTTAAAAAATCAAATCTAACGTGTTAGTCAACAAATTTTTGTGAAATAAAAGCGAAATAAAGGAAAATGAATGCAGATTTATAATTGTACTCACATGTTGCCATTAATCCTCATATGGGCACAAATATTTGCAAAAAACAACACATTGTTTGTGATTGTGAGTCATCTATTCACTATTGAGAAACACTGCCACAAAAGCGAAGTTTGTAAAATTCAACATTGCTTTCTACGCTGATTTCACTAATATTACTAATAATATTAATATCTAGTTCCAATTTACAGTCCATTAGTGCACTTCAATGTCACTTAAAATGGAATCCAGCGAAATCTCTGGTATCACTTGAATAATTGGCAAATAATCGGCAAAATCCACTTCGAAAAAAAAAAATTTTAACCTTTAAAACTACACACAAAAAAATCAATTAAATACTTGTAACTGGCGCCCACTCTATCCAGCTATCGGAAAAACCAGATGTAATCAATAGGAAGTCTCGGAGTTCACGAGTTTATAACTCTATGTTGTCACGGACGCTTTTGGACGTTTTGCCCGTTCAGAATTGAGACTTTTCGGCCGCTCTGCCGGGGGGGGGGGGGGGGGGGGTTAAAGTTTAGAGAGAACCAGAACTGATAAAGAGTTGATAATTTCTAAGTATAAAAAGTTTTCCATCTTGAATATTTAATATTTAATAAGTGATCTAAACTGATAAAGAGTTAATAATTTCTAAGTATAACAAGTTCTCCATCTTGACTATCTAATGTTTAATGATTGATCTGCTGCTGTTTAAAAAAGAAAGTCAATAGGCACTCTGAAATATAGCTAAGGTATTATATGGAGCACAGCTTGAATTATGTTATCCGTTCAAAACTTTGATAAATATCCTTCAATTTGAAACCAATCCCTTTGTTGCATTCCAAAAACTTTCATTAGAAGTTGAACAAGTTGCTGTCCATCATATTAATTACAAATTAGACTGCTATCCAAGTCCAACACATTAGAATTTAGATTGATATCCAAGTCCAACACATTAGAATTTAGATTGATATCCAAGTCCAACACATTAGAATTTAGACTGATATCCAAGTCCAACACATTAGAATTTAGACTGATATCCAAGTCCAACACATTAGAATTCAGACTGCTATCCAAGTCCAACACATTAGAATTCAGACTGCTATCCAAGTCCAACACATTAGAATTTAGACTGATATCCAAGTCCAACACATTAGAATTTAGATTGATATCCAAGTCCAACACATTAGAATTTAGACTGATATCCAAGTCAAACTCATTAGAATTTAGACTGCTTTCCAAGTCCAACACATTAGAATTTAGACTGATATCCAAGTCCAACACATTAGAATTTAGACTGATATCCAAGTCCAACACATTAGAATTTAGACTGATATCCAAGTCCAACACATTAGTAATTAAACTAATTTCCCCCCAAAAATGTTGTTTCCAGACTAGAAGTTCATGCAGACATATCAGAGCATTCAGCTCACTGTGAGAGGTCCAGTGTTGGTGGGGAGTCATACAGTATGTCACTCAATGATGATGCAAGCACCCGAGCACTGGCAGGGTCAATAGTCTCTCCAAAGTGAGTGGTTATCACAGGGCTGTCTTGGTTTTCGCATGGTTGTTTTTATTAATTATATTTGAGTGATAGAGCGCCAAGAATATTGCATTTCATTCTTATCTTTCAGTTTTTGAACTGACCTCCTCAATTTTGTTATGCATCTACAAAAATTAAATTAATATTTTTTCTTACCATAAGGCTGTTTAAGGTGGTCCACGGGTGTAAAAATGGATAGTTTGGATATTTGTATCCCAAATGAGCTTCTCCTAGCTTGGCCTCTTATTCTTATGAGCACTTTACTGCTAAGGGTTTTCTTTAAGATATAGTTTTAAGTTGTTTTAAAAGTGGTACGGTAAGACCACATTTCCAGGAACATAAAACTGGTGAAGACAAAATCTGGCTTATTAGACCTTAGTGACATGTAGTTCAGACCTGTTTACTCTTACCATTTTGAGGTGTATACATTATATATACTGTATGTTTATTTTTTTACTAAGATAATGTATTGAACGATTTTGTGATGATGTACGATTTTAAGAGTTTGACAGTAAACAGGACTGGTAGGTCTACAACGCTACCTACACGTATTTGGTATCGACGAAAGAGTAGCTGAGCCAGAAGGCTGTGGCGTCATAATCAAATATGGCTAAAATAAGCTTCAAAGTTATTCCGTAGTTAACAATTGAATTTTAAACTTTCTGATTGGTCGAGGCATTGACCCCTTGACCTTTTCTTGTTCTGTGAAGCTCATTGGTCAAATAAATTAAAATTTGACCTGGATAGATTGTTTTCTACCCACATTCCAATTCTACTTCCGCTATGGGTCTAAAAATATGATTTTATTTTTGGATGAACTTTTTATCGCTCATTTCAATCGATGGACTTCAAATTGACTCAAGAAATCGAATATTTAGCAGTTTCAACCCAGTTTTTTGGATTTACATACCATATCATATTGTTGGTAAGTGGTTTCAAGCATTTTAAAAATAAATGATATAATTACACAAAATATATAACATTATTTTTCTTTTTTATGTAACTGTCGCAGTTTTCAGTAATGATGGAAGAGTAATGCCATGCCATACCAAAATTATCTCTAACTCTAGTCTAGTCTAAACGAAACGTTGCTGCTCGTGCCCGCAGTAGGCATTAAATATATTGTTTTAAAAATTAATCTTAAAATATAGCAAATCTGGGCTATGCAATTTTATATTTTGATCTTTCTCCCTAAATTTATAAAATTAATTTTTATTTATGTCTATCTTTTGAAAGTTTAAAATTATTTTGAATCACAATGTTAACAGATTGACTTGGAATAAAATCCTAGAATTTTTCATTTCCTGTAAATTAATAGAGGCATAATATTTGTTATCATCTCTAGGTGACCTGTTGGCATCTCCTTGAACCAAAAGACTGGAAAGGAAAAGGATCATACCATACAAGAGCAGTCAAGTTGCAAAGTAAAAATAAAGTATTTCTTGGTCCCTTCCAGGCGTCCATTTTCCTCTTATAGAGTAAGGAATGAATGCCTTTCTTGATCATACTCTCATGATAAATTCTATTCAATCTGATCATGCTCTCATGATAGATTCTATTCAATCTGATCATACTCTCATGATAGATTCTATTCAATTTGATCATACTCTCATGATAGATTCTATTCAATCTGATCATGCTCTCATCATAGATTCTATTCAATCTGATCATACTCTCATGATAGATTCTATTCAATCTGATCATACTCTTATGATAGATTCTATTCAATCTGCCACTTCGGAGCTATTTCACACACATCACAACACGTCTGTTGTATGTGAACATTCAACTTTAACGGGTATCACTCAGTGCTGATATCATTACCACATTGCTTCAGATCTGTAAGTCAGAGCTGCAGTGAGTTACCTGATCAGTACTGGACTTAACAAACAAAAAAACATGGGCTGAAGGGGGAGAAGATGAACAGTATTGTTCATTTATTTCTTGACATGAGTCAAAGTATTATTACTACATGCTTCAAACTTTGCAAAGTTTTTACTATTGTATACCTATTTATCCCTACACTTTTGCCAAAGTAGCTAATTGTTGTAAGCCCAAGTCTACGGCACTACGCCAAGCCTAAAAAACTACCATTTCTGGAGTTTTATCGTTTTTTTTGGTTTATTTAAAAAATATAACTTAACAACCCCCTCAAAACAAAGGTTGTTTTTTTTTATACATCCTTAATAAAATGTAATAATGGACAATCCGGGTGGGGGCTAAAAATTTGAAAAATCATGCATACAAGTAATGCACTTTATTAGAATCCGAAGTTGTGCCCTCCCAACCCCAAATTTTTGTCATGCCCCTGAACTTTATAAATATTCTAATTCCCATATGCTTTTACACAGCAGATTTATTTCACCAAAAATATTAGAAAAACAAAACTTGCAGTATTTTTTTTAAAAGAATATTTAAGCCGGTTATTGGAAATTTCATTTTATCTTGCCCATGAAAAAATAGGAAAAACTGATTTTGGTTGGTTGTGGTGTGGGTCTGAAAATGTGATAGAATGCATTGTCACCTGCAACGAGTCTATGTGCCAAGATTCAGCTCGATAGGTTGAAGGGAAGTGGGTCCATTAGCGGTCTGAAGATTTTGCCAGTTGGCCACCCAGCCAGCTACCCACAAATATAAAGGGTTTAAAAATTGGGGTCTTTGCAGTAAAAAGTTACCATAATTTTTTGTGTTTTTGAATGACAACAGTGAATGGCCTTTGCAGTTTGGGTCTCAATGAGCCAAACAGAATATTTTTCTTTTGGATGGTGGATTAAGTATTATTATTTAAAACTGCCAATGTGTTGTATAAGTTTTAGCTTATTGATTGGATTTGGCATCATTGATGTGCATTAGATTTCCAAGTGATTGGATCTGAATTTGGCACCAATGATGTGCATTAGATTTACAAGTGATTGGATCTGGATTTGGCACCAATGATGTGCATTAGATTTACAAGTGATTGGATCTGGATTTGGCACCAATGATGTGCATTAGATTTCCAAGTGATTGGATCTGGATTTGGCACCAATGATGTGCATTAGATTTACAAGTGATTGGATCTGGATTTGGCACCAATGATGTGCATTAGATTTACAAGTGATTGGATCTGGATTTGGCACCAATGATGTGCATTAGATTTCCAAGTGATTGGATCTGAATTTGGCACCAATGATGTGCATTAGATTTACAAGTGATTGGATCTGGATTTGGCACCAATGATGTGCATTAGATTTACAAGTGATTGGATCTGGATTTGGCACCAATGATGTGCATTAGATTTCCAAGTGATTGGATCTGGATTTGGCACCAATGATGTGCATTAGATTTACAAGTGATTGGATCTGGATTTGGCACCAATGATGTGCATTAGATTTCCAAGTGATTGGATCTGGATTTGGCACCAATGATGTGCATTAGATTTACAAGTGATTGGATCTGGATTTGGCACCAATGATGTGCATTAGATTTCCAAGTGATTGGATCTGGATTTGGCACCAATGATGTGCATTAGATTTCCAAGTGATTGGATCTGGATTTGGCACCAATGATGTGCATTAGATTTACAAGTGATTGGATTTCGTATCGTAATAATACCTTTGAATTTGAAGGTGTTTTTTTTTTGTTAAGTTCACCTTTATCAACATATTGAAGGGTAAGGGGCCATCCATTTAGTACGTAGGCACTGAAGTGGGGATCCAATTTTGCGTAAATTTGGCGAGGGGGTCCAGGCAGACAGTACATACATTTATTTAAAATTCTGCAGTAATCATCTTGAAATTTTGACAGTACAAAGATTACCTATTTAATTATCAAAGTAGAGGAATTTGATTTTGATTTTTAACATCGAAAACCTACGACCACTGTACTTTGTTAACTTAGTAATAGTTAAGTAATCTTCCCTTTTTTTTTAAATCTACAATATAACACCAAGCCTTATAAATTTTAAATAAAATTAAAGTCCTAAAGTATTTTATTTAAAAAATTTCATATTCACTAATAATAATAGTACAAAATTAAGAATAAATGCCAGTATTTCAATGTTCATTGTTCAAAATGTTCTTGATAACCCTTGTTCCGCACTTCTTTGGCTCAGTCCTACGTCACCGCATAGACTTGTTTTATTTTAGCATGTCTACCATATAAATACTGATACAAATAGTATAATAGTCTATAGTTAATAAAAAATATGTCCAACAGCGCCTTTAAAGACTGATGATGGTTAGGAGAGCAACCAAGCTAAGCATGTGATCACTGCTACACTCTACTAGATTTATTGATAGCAAGCATATTTGCAGGACAGTACTCACAGGCCATCTGGATGTGAAAATGAAAAGACAATCCTGTGTATCCCCCACCTCAGGTGTCCACTTCTGGAACTTCCCAGTCAAGCTCTCAACACCCTGATGACAGAGACTTTATAGACACTAAAGTGGGTTTACTTGAACTGGTTTTTCTCCTCACATGAAAAGACATTGGCTCCATCTAGGAAAAGATGTATTCTACTTGTGGTAACTAAATACATGTTCTAGAGTCCCACAGAGACAGGACACAGTGCTCTATTTTTTTAAGACTTTGAAAAGCAAGTCAAAAAAGCCTCAACTCTTTTTCAATAAACTGATGAAAACTTGCGCAAATGCTGGGAACTTTAATAAATATATGTGTGTGTGTACACATTTATTGGTTAATTTTGTTCTTGTGTTTGGTGTTTCAATATTGTTTTCAATTCTAAAATTCCAAATTGTTTTCCTGTTGCCAAAAAAGGCACCTATTATGCTGCAATAGCCATGAATCTGAGTTCAGTATGCCTATCAGTCAAGCAAGTCTGTGCAGTCGGTGCTTTTTGTGCTTGCCCTAAGACCTTTTCTCAGTCTTAAGAAACAGATCGGAGGACTATAACCTGTATATTTATTTGTGTTCACTTATATAAGTCGTCGGGTGGATTTCCCGACACCATTTGTATTTTGACTGCCATCCAGTCTCCCCCATGCTTGCTTATTTCTATTAATATTCTTTACATAATGATGGATTGTTTTTTAACAAATTTCTCATAGGAAGATTTGCAAAAAAAATGTATTGGTGTATTTTATTTATTTTGCTCCTAGGGGTGATTTTTGAAAAATTGTGTTAATATTTTTTATCTTTTCTGTCTGTTTTTTAAATTCTTTTTTCATTCATGAACGGTATATGTACATTGTGTATGCATTCTTTATAGTTCTTGCGGCCTGAATTTTAAAAAAAACACTCTTAAATGTCTTTTTTCATTTTCTCAATTTTGCTTTTTTCAGATTTTTGATGGATACCGAATGTATCAGAAGGAAAAGCGTTCTAGTCACAGACCTCAAACTTAACATTCTTCTTTCTATTGATATTTTAAACATAACTATCCTGGCTTTTTTATATCTCTTCAACATAATTTTTTAAATTGTGTTTTTACATATCCTACCCCAACAATTGGCCACATTTTTATGTGACCCCCACATACATGCCATTAGCAGCTCTTCCAATCATTATGATACAGTGAGCCTCTCACATACATGCCATTAACAGATCTTCCAGTCATTATGATGCAGCGAGCCTCTCACATACATGCCATTAGCAGATCTTCCAATCATTATGATGCAGTGAGCCTCTCACATACATGCCATTAGCAGATCTTCCAATCATTTTGATGCAGTGAGCCTCTCACATACATGCCATTAACAGATCTTCCAATCATTATGATGCAGTGAGCCTCTCACATACATGCCATTAACAAATCTTCCAATCATTATGATGCAGTGAGCCTCTCACATACATGCCTTTTATTAGATCTTCCAATCATTATGATGCACTTCCATAACAAAGTCTGATTGTGATATTTCAAAACTACTTAGTTCTTAGCGTTCATAACTTTTGCATAACTCAAATAAAAAATCTAAAACAAAAATTCAAAATAAACGTATGTGTTTTTTTTTTTATTCTTTATTTTTATTTCACTTTTGTTCATGGCTGGCTGTCAAAATCTCAGGATGGCTAATTGATTTGTTCTTCTGAAATACCGGTAGTTGCTGTAATAAATCTGTGGCGTGAAAGCGGGTGGGACATAAGAATATTTATATTTTATAGCCATTTTAATTGTTTCTATAGTATAGTAGTTACTATCCTAGTGTCTCATTTTTATTTTACTTAGTTTACATGTTTTTAATAATTGTAAAGGGCTTAGAGCTTTAAGGTAAGGGCTATATAAAAATGCCTAAATAAATAAATAAAATAAAATAATTCAAAAATGCATATAAAGGATTTAAAAGAAAAACTTTGATTTTAGGGGTTCTATATTAGATTCATATTAACTTCACTTTTGTTAGTGTTTTAGGGCACTTCACTTAACTTCACTTTTGTAAGTGTGTTAGGGCACTTCATATTAACTTCACTTTTGTTAGTGTGTTAGGGCACTTCATATTAACTTCACTTTTGTTAGTGTTTTTAGGGCAAAATCTTCAGGCATTTACTTGACTCACTTCCCATCGACCTCTCAAGCTGAAACTTGGCACGTTGACAGACTCATTGCAGATGAATCCCTAACATATTGTCAGCCCCACACCCCAACCCCTAAAAATCAGCTTTTCCTGACTTTCAAGGGGAACATGAAGGAAATATGATGACACCTATTTCACAAAATAAAATTCACCATAACAGGGCTAAATGAGAAATTTTTTTTTTAAATACTGTATCACAAACAAGGGCATTTGGTGCGTAATATTTTCTTTAGGTTTTTCTAAAATTGTTGTTGAAATAAATCAGCGGTGTAAAAGCAGTGGGTCAATAAATCAGCTGTGCAAAAGCGGGTGGGTCATTAGAAAATTAATATACTTCAGGAGCGTGAAGAAAAATTGTGTGGGGGGGGGCACTGATTGTGATTCTTATAAAGTGCATTACTTGTACCCAATATGCATGTTTGGTCTAATTGTTAGCGCCCCTCATTGCTGGAGATTACATTTTATAAGGGATTTATACGAACATCTTTGTTTTTAGGGCGTGTTTCATTTGTTTCACATTTGGTCTAGTTTGTTCGTTACAAAAATATTTTAAAGTTGAGAAACAGAGGACAAAAATTTTGACCCATGGACCACCTTAAGAGAAAGCAGTTAGTAATTGTCATTAAATTGTCAATAGTTATGTAATGTCATGTTGCTGAGGTTACGGTTTTTTTAAACTTCTAATGCCAAAAATTAGTTTACACTGACAATAAATTTGTTCCCTTTTTTTTGTCTTCTGTGTTTAGGGATAAAGATGGCATTTCCCTTTGCTCCAGACATTTTGATGGTGCTTCAGGGCCGTTGGCTTATCCAGAAGAGAGCTCGCTGAAGGATGACGAGTGTGCATCCTCATCCGGTGGAGGCGGCCAACATCAGAGAGGCAGCTCGTCCTGCCCGACGTCCCCGCACTTGCGCAAGGCCAGCCCTGCTCCGTCAGAAGATACCCACAGCACACGAGGCAAGAAATGCACTCGTTTCATGGATCAGGTCTCGGAGATTGAATCCAAAAGTGACTGCTTGAGTATTGGCTCAATCATAAGTACAAACAGCGGTTCGCCGTGCTATGATGGCGTCTCTCCCACTTTACAGACGTACTCCACGCTGTCACTCACAACCGTCACCACCACTCAAGCTGCTTTGGCCAGCTGTGAGAGTTTAATGAGTGAGGGGAAGGCCGAGACCATCGGTGCCGCTGACATATGCAAGACTACAAACATGGTCAGCGGCGTCAGGGTCAAGGCAGAATCCACCAGTGTGTTGATGGACGGAGCTGACTCTCGCCGGTGTGAAATGGGAGGTGCCCGTAGGAAGAGCGACTCCACTTCTCGAGATGACATGAACCCATCTGAGCGGCTGCTGGCCTCGAGGAAGAAGTCTGGCACGGGCTGCGAGAAGGAGCACAGATCTCAACCTGGAAATCTGTCAGACATATCTGAAATAAAGGGCATGCCGTCACTGCACACTGCTGGCTGTCCTGACTTGCTCGCCGTGATTCATACCAGGTGTGAGAATGTTTTCTTGGACAAAAAGGGACAAACCAAAGCCAGGCTCATCTCCCTGTCATCGTTCTCCTCATCATTTGAAGAGCCTTCAGAGTTCTCATCCAGGAGGTCCATGGTGGGTGGATTTGGAAATTGTGAAACCGTGAGAGAAAATGTTGTCTACAGTGGGTCCATGTTGGATGTTGGAGACAGCCTGTCTGAAGTTAATTCATCTCAGGTAAGCCTGGAGGAAGGGAATGTTATCAGGGCTTCATCTAGGTCTGTGCTCCCCGTCTCAACAAGTGCCCACGATAGGCACGCTTTCCTTGTGACAGGTGGTGGTCTGAAAACAAGCCAGAATCTGCATAATACCACAACAGCTTCAATCTATACGGTAGATGACAGAAATAGCGATGCCGATCAAGCCAATGGCCATCTGTTACTTTGTAAACGTGATTCCTCCCTGTCACATACCAGCATTGGCAGTGATTGTGCCATGGCTGCGTCACCTCTCCCTGATGTTGAAATGCCGACGTACCTGCCTGACACTGTTGGTGCTGCCGCCTCCTCACCAAGATCGTCAGAAGTTGCCTGCTGTCACGTATCTTTCCACAGTCCTGTCAATTCTTTAAGCAGACATAAAGCAGTGAAAATCAACATGGCCCCATTGTACAAACCTTCCTCTGAACCACATACACACAAAAGCACTGACATTTACAGCCAAGACAGTTGTCCTTACACATGTGCACATTTGACCCCAACTGAAACCAACAAAAACTTAGCCGAAGACCAAGTGACTTTACCGTTGATTTCCTCCATATCAGAGCCTCAACTTAGCCATCATTCACCATCATTTTTGCCTTGTCGGGGGACCAAAGACGCCGGCAGATACCCTTCATCGGTCCCAGCTGAACCTCAACAAGGGAAGACAAACGAGGTGCTCTCCACACACACACAACATTCTCTGCGGTCCAGGTTGAACCTGCTTGAAGGTCAGGGTCAACTTGAAACAGTCAAAGTGGAATGCCTTTACACTGATGTGTGAGTTTAGTTTTTGTCACAGGGTGCTTCTTTTCCATTGTTACATGTTGGTGTCTTTTCAGGTTAGACCAGAGGGAAATAAAGAGACTCTGCATTGACCAAGTATGGATATGTTTGACTAGGGTTTTACATCTCATTTAAAGTCTACCTTTTCAAATACCCGTAGAGTTGAGCTTTTTTTTAGGCCTTATTGTTTAAAGTAAGTGAATGCAGTTGATCCCAACAAAGCCAATAGAACTTGAGTTCTAAACGTTTCTATTTAATCATTGCCGCAGTTCTAAAGTAAACAAAATAAAAACATATTCCACCTAAAATTCAAAAGGGTGTTTGAATTTTTTGTTGATTGTCAACTCATAAAAGCAAAATATAAATAAAAACCAAATAATTGTTTTGATTAAGTTTAGTGTGTTTCGTTATAAAATAATTTTAGTTTTAGATGTTGTGTCCTTTTGGGTGATGGTATCATAACCTTGCTCCATCAATGTTCACCACTCAGCTAATGATGAAAGAGCTCAACGTTTTAAAAAGAAATCAATATCACCATTTTGGGGCCTCTTGTTTTGTGAAATAATGCATCAAATAAGCAACGTGAGAACCTTTCATAGACATTATTGGACATAGAGGTTGACTTACGTTTGGGATTTTAAATTTCCTTGATGGTAATTAAATTATTTATATTTAAAGTAACATATTGCCTATAATTTACAATAATAAATATAAAGTGTAACCAAAGGCTTGTGTATTTTTGTACTCTTCCATTGTCCGTGTTATTTCACTCCTCATAGAGTCAAGATAATATTTTTAACATTATTTGCAATGTGCCGCCATGAAGAGTGGTGACTGGTGATAAATAAACTGTATTCATTCCTAAATAATGGTCTTTTCATCTCAGCACATCTATTTTGCCTAGTCCAATAAATGACTTAATTTTTACGCAAAGCTACATCTGTGTTTATCAGAGTTAATTAGTACGTTAGGAAGTTTAAGTTAGTGTCAAAATGTGCAACTAATGCTTCTATCTTTTTCTTAATTTGCAATACTTTCCAGAAAACGTTTGATTTCTTTTTTAAAAGTAACTGTAGAATAATTAACTTCTATACTGGTACTTATAATTAAACCAGCACCAACTGAGAAATCTGCTGCCACACCCTAAATGGTGGCACATGACATTTTTGTTGATTGTTGAATTTGTACAGAGCCATATTGCATTATATAATAAACTTGCTGAATGGGTCATAGTATTACATGTTTCTGATGTAAACATTTTGTTACAATTTGTGTCATGACTTTTGTGTGCTTTGATTTTGCTGAATTTTTGGACATTGCCATTTACTCGTATTTATCACTGGAATTAAAGTCCCCCAATTGATTCAATTACAAGTCGCAGTTGCTATTTTTTTTAAAAATATATTTTAAGTTTTTTTGTTGTTTTTTTTTTGGTCTTTTTCTCATCTCAAAATGTCCACTACAAGGCAAGTTTTGAATTTTTTATTTTGTTCCAACTATTTTAGTATACTTTTATGTTTTATTAATATTCTATTCAAAGTTATTGTAATTTTTACTTGGTGTAGCTGGTCATGTAATCACAAATATAATCATAATGGCTGAAAATTCAGTGAAAAGCGTTTTTGGTAAAGACAAACCCAATGGAGGAGAGATTGAGATATTGCTGACTCATTGGACAGATGAAAGTGAAATTTTAGAAAAAAAATCATATTAATATTAGATCTAAACCAGCATTTTAATTTTACAATTTAGAAGCATTTCTAAGACGGGTTTTTAGTTTTTAACTGGATATATCATTTCAACTGATTGATGTAGGCTGTTGGCTTTTCAAAACTGTACAGAACAACGGTATGGTACATTATAAAAATTATATTTGAATTATGTTATATTTTTTTTATTTACAATAGTACCCAGTACCTGCAATAGATGTAGGTACCGGTATATAGAATTATATTTAAAATACAATAATATCGGGGCTGAAGGTAAAATATATTGAAGTTATAGTACCTATAAATAGTATTTTAGCAGAGTGAAATACAGCCAATCTGTTGCTATTTAAAACACTAAAAAAAAAAAAGTCTGTAATATTTGAGAATTAATCTATCATTAGATATAGCTTAAAAATGATTATGTGGACGTCCTAATCTGTACAACAATAAGCAGCCACTAATGAAGAGATCAATAACTTGTCCTGTCCCTACAGCTGTGACCATCCTCTAATGATAAGATGTATAGCTATGTAAAAATGCTTTGATTTTTACCGGTATACAAAATTATATTATATTAATTTTAAATATTTGCTATTTATTTTTGCTGCTTTCAGCCTTATTCCTATTTGTTATTAACTATTAACATATGATCATCATCCAGAAAGGACTGTCCTGTGGATGTGATGTACATTGTATATGATGGTACTGTGATGTACAATGTACATGATGGTGCTGTGATGTACAATTTATATGATGGTGATGTGGAGTACAATGTATATGATGGTGCTGTGATGTATAATGTATATGATGGTGCTGTGATGTACAATGTATATGATGGTGCTGTGATGTACAATGTATATGATGGTGCTGTGATGTACAATGTATATGATGGTGCTGTGATGTACAATGTATATGATGGTGCTGTGAATTGTTTTCTGTAGTTAATCCAGCTGTGGGGCAATGGTACTTCTAGACCAGTTAAGTTAAAAAAATTTTGTAAACTGTTTTCCATTGTTATTTATGATCATTTCGTTTGCTACTTCAACTGATATTAAAAATGATCTATCCATAATACTTTGAAACTTACATATTGCAAATTATGCTGATTTTTTTCCCTTCTATGTTTTTTTTCTACACCAGGCATATTTTTAGTGCGCCTCACACCCCTCTTGATTTCAGAGCATTTCCCGCACCCCAATCTCGATTTCAACACTAAAATCCCATACACCCTAAAAAATGTAAATAAATCTGATTTTCTGAGTCTCCCTGCACCTCCTGAGACCACCTCAGGCTCCGGCACCCATGTTTAAGAACTGGTGGGTTAGTGTCCCATTAACAGTAACAGACCTCAAAAAGTTTGAACTGTCAACATTAAAAAAAAATACATTTTAACTATTTTTTGCATTACCGGTACTTGAATTGATTGAAATTTAAAAGAAAATTTTATATCCCATCCAAATGTTCCCAACAGTTGAAACCCTATTTTACAATGACTTTGTCTGGTCATTTCTTGGTCAATTTTGGAAAATATAGTCTCCAAAAAAAGCCACTTTTTTTTTGCTGAATTTGAATTATTTATTCTTTTTAACTCTAATTCTAATTCAAGTTTCTAGGGTAGTTACATCCCTCCTTTTTTTTTTTGTTTATCAAAATATTGAAGAAGGCTGCAACTATTCGCACCCGGGTACCGGGTATCAGAAGTGAGAGATTGGGATTAAAAAACTATTTAAAATATTACTGGTATTGTTGGGTTTGTAAGACAAAATGAGGTATCAAATGAAAGATAATTGAAATTGAATGGTCTATATGTTTGTAAACTTACCTCTTCAGTTTAACTAAAATAAACTACCGGGTACCACAAATGACATCCGAATGGGATTTAGTCTAAAGAGACCCAGGTCCGAATAGGGGCTAAGCCGAATAAATTCAAACGGTCCTAAATTTATATTACCGGTACTTTAGATTAATAAGCTCAAAAACTTAAATATTATTTTTGAAGAAGTACGTTTTTTTTCCAATAATTTTAAATGAAATGTATCCACAAGCAGCAGTGTGTCCCCGTGTGGAGGAGTTCTTTGTAATCTCAGATCAAGGACTGGAGGTCTGCTCTCACTCAACATTTCTTTAACCCTTTGACACCCACCACCATTAATAGTTATAAGACAGGTGTGGTCCTCTGTAGTTGGCTGGCCATTCTCAGAGATTGGTGGTGCAGACCACATCATCTAGTCAAATACTTGATGTAGATGAGGAAAAAACTGCAGAATGTGACCATGGCATTAACCTAAGCCAGTCACATTCAGAATGGGACGAGGGTGTTGGTCATCAAAGTCACAGGTGTCGTCCTCTGTAGTTGGCTGGCCATTCCCCAAAGATTGGTGGAGCACACCACCATATCATCTAGCCAAATACTTGATGAAGTTAATGTAGATGAAGAAAAAAGCTGCAGAATGTGACCATGGCGTTAACGTAAACCAGTCACATTCAGAATGTGACCAGGGTGTAGTTCCAAGCTGGTCACAATCAGCTGTATCAGTGATGGGAAGACTTTTTCAAGCCCAAGTGTCTCTCTTCTGATCTATAGTGTTCACTCGATCTTGCAGTTGCCGGTATCATTTTTATTCTCCAACTTATTTTTATCATTCTAATTCTATTGCTAGTGGTAAATCTTTTTTTTTTTTTGACATCCCCATAAGAAATTTGGACCTGTGGTGGGTTAAAAATATTTTACGTTAAAATTTATTTAATGAATTGATTTTATAAATTTGTTTTCTATTTTAATATGTGATATTATTTCATCTTTTGCAAACCTTTTTCTTTTTTTTGGTTGTATAAGGTTGCATTATGTAATTTTTAAAAATCTGTTTAGGATATCCTCAAGTGTACATTTTTGTCCATAACCATGAATACTTGGTGGTGTACATTTGTAGTACATTCAGTTGCAGCCCTTGATTTACAAAAATCACAATTTTAGGATTAAAAGAAGAAAACGCTTAACAAATAAAATCCTCTTCATACTGTGAACAAAACATTCCTGAAACACTCTGTAAACACAAAGTACCTGGTACCGGTACTAAAGTTTGTAGTTAATCTTTTATAATATAATACCGTTATAATAGTACAAGTACAATGTAGAAATCAAAATTTAATGCACCTTATGTAAATATGACACATGGGATTGTATTTGCTTAAAGTTAAAGTGCATATCAGTATGAACTTTAGGAATGATGAAAGTCTTTGTAAATCAAGAACTGCCTGTATCTCTGTTAAGTCCAATGCTATGAAGATTTCAATGGTAAACAAAATTTGTAAACATATATTCTCAGAGAGAAATTGATATATATCTTTTAACCAAATTCAATATTCATGTACCAAATTAATAGACATTTTATTTTTGACATTTAAAATTTGTTTTTAAAAAACAATAATGATGACGATGATAAGAATAAAGCTCTGAAGGTGACAATTGTGCATTTTCTTTTATCATTTCGAATAAAATAGAATGGCAAAAGGGTGCCCATATATTTAGGACCATTTCCAACTGCTTTTCTATACAATACCAATGCTCAGAACTAGTGCACTCAGCAGGACATGTCTAATCTGCACTCTACCAATGCTCGGAATCCAAAGAACTCAGGGGGATATGTCTAATCAGCATTCATGTAACAGATCAAGGGGTTGATGAATGGGACAGGAAAGTAAATCATCTTCAAAGAGCATTCTTCTTAAATTGAGGGACAGTCTTCATTGAAATGTCAGCAGTGGTCACCAAAATCAATATTTTTCAAACATTTGAAAATAGAAATTCTGCATTCAGGAATCCGCCAAAATGCACTTCTCAATTTTGAAAAGACATTTCTGGGGCGTGACTCCCCAGACCCCTCTCCCATTTCAATCCGGGTCAATCAGTGCCCTTTGATTTCTGTCCCACTTCCCGAAAAATGACTATATTTGGCCCTATTTTGGTGCCTAGTGGCGTGCCACTACTACATATTAAGAAAAATAAGGACACAGGGCAACCATAAATTATTATCGCCAATTGAATACTGGTGTACTAATCTTTTACTTTTCGAAACATGGCAATAAGTCCCTACAGAAAATTTCATATAAAAAAAATCATTTGTAATAACCTTTTGTAAACATTTCGTCTGAAGGCATCCTGTTCCCTGATGGGATCACATTCAAAGTTGGGCTCCCGTTTCTTGTTGCGGGGCCCACTCAACGGTTCTGGGGGCCCGAGACACACCTAAATTTTCACCAGCATTTCCTTTGTTGCTCTTCAATTAAGTATAGAAAGATGCAAACTAAATTCAGGTACCGTATGGGACAAAATGTATTTTGAACTTATCAAAAAATAATAATTTAAAATTTCTTAAAATATTAAAATGCATCACAAAAAGAAATTATGTGCAGAAAGCATTTTTGTTTAAATAAAAAGAAAACATTTAACTTTCCTCCACATTCTAAGTCGGAAAAAATTATTTGGCTACATTATACTACATAGAGTGCACATCTACACTTCTGCAGTCTTTTTTTGCATACCCGTACCCGGGAAGGTATCAAATAAATGTTAAAAATTTTCTACTTTTTAGGGCGTATTAGTTTAAACTTGACTTTGATGGGTCTTTTTACCAGCATTGTCTGCACTCACTAATACCGTTATCGGGTTTATTGAAACACTCATTGAACAACCCCTAAACAAAAGATTTTCTTATAAATCTTTTATGAAATTAATACTGGTATCCAACAAATGATGGGGGGGGGGGGGTGTGTTAGTGTGTGTCCTGAAAATGTGACAATGCATGCATTTAATTAAGTAACACACTTGTTGCATCCCAATTCAGCTCCCAATTCCATTCAGCCAGTCATTAATGAGTTACTCATTAATGTAATCTTCCTATTGCTTCCATGGTTTATTTCAGCTGTCACAGGTGAGTATTTAATCAACATTCCCAGCCATCACCATAATCATGGAAATAAAACAACAACAGAAGAATTCAAGAGGCAGACAAAAGAACATTGTTTATTGGTACGTGCACATCCACCACGCAAGATGAAGATAATGAATGAAACCCTTTATTATTTCATGACAAATATATAGATATATATATAGACAATTATAAAATCAAATGAACAATGACAATAATTTGTCTGACAGGGAATCAGTCAGTTAGGTCTCGCTGTTTCTGTAACAGTTCTTTAAACTATTTTTTTTTTTAAATCTCTTCACTAAAAATACTTTTAATCATACAATTTGCTTTCAAGTTAAGGTTTAAGACTGTGGTTAAATTAGAATTACTGTGATTGAAAATAAAATGATATTCAGCGAGATACTATAATGGTAATAGAGACACAAATTTTAGCATTATCAAAATCTTAAAAAGTATGGACTGTTCAAACTTTTCATGGCCTGATTCCTGTGTTTTAATTTCTTAGTTTAAAACATGTGTTAAAACAAGAACACGGTAAAATAACCTTTTTTGTTTAGAAAAAAATAATAAAACTAACCATTTCTTTTAATAACAGAACTAGAAGTTGTCTTTTTTAGAACAGACCTACAACTATTATTCAATTTCATTTCGCCCACCCAATCTGAAACTAAAACCAATTAAATTATTCAGCACATCACCAAGGCACTGTTGCTTACTTTTGACAGAATTTATTCATGTTTTTTGCTGGTCACCAAGTAATGACATGGCCAAGTGATCATTGCTGACATTACAATGGTAATACACTACTAGAATATGGAAAAAAAGTTTGAGCAAAGTATTTGAAAAGGAAACAAAAAAATAGAGAGGATAAGAAACATCCAATACTTTTTTTTAGCTCACACCAATTGAACAGATCCAATCATTTTATTAATTTTTAATCAAATTACTATTGATCTTACTGCCTTTAGAGCAGGGAAGGGGGGGGGGGATGGACAACTTAGTAGAGGATTGTTTTAACACAATGCTATCTTACAACTTAGTAGAGGATTGTTCCAACACAATGCTATCTTACAACTTAGTAGAGGATTGTTCCAACACAATGCTCTTACAACTTAGTAGAGGATTGTTCCAACACAATGCTATCTTATAATGCTGATAGTATGGCAATGATCTGCCAACTCATTTTTCCACTCATTGTTGCCAAAATATTTGTTTTTAATGATTTACCATGGACACCCTAAATGAGAAAAGGATGGGTCTACAATCATGTTTTTATCTTTATAAACTTTTAGGCAAGTCAACAGTTTTATAAGATGTGTATGTATTTTAAGATTATGCCTTCAAGATAAGCGGCTTTTCATATTTTTGAGTGTTCATGCACATCAGTAGACAACTTCTTTCCTGTATAAAGTTTATTTCCCTTTAATTCCAACTAAATTTTTTGTAGTTTTAAATTTTTAAAAAAGGACTTACAAATAAGAGTGGAACAGCGCATTAATGCATAAAACTCTTGACTTATACATTATCACCATCTTTGTAACTATTGTATAACCGGTACTAGTAAAAACAAGGAATAATGAAAGAATAAATCTGGGAGATGCATGAAACCTTGATCAAAGTTTCGTCTACATTGTGATCATTGAATATAAAATTTACATCAAATCATCTGGTCAAAACTTAAAATAAGGGGAATAAAATCAAAGTGTTCCAGCTCTTCATGTGCCATCAAGAACATCAAGACCAAATTTGTTGATTTTATTTCATGGTTTATTACATTCTTTGTTAAAACAATTACTAGAATAATTTCCACCATAACTGAATGATTAACACTGACAACTTCACTACTGGTAAGTAAAAGTCCAGCTAATGCCACGCGCAGCAGGGGCCGTTGACATATTTCAATGGTACAGGGTTTTATAATCTAAGCCTGACTCTTCATAAGATGCAACTTTGAGAATATCCAGTAGTTTGGGGTCATTTGTATCTCTAAAGGATCTTGCTTCAAAAAAGACTAGATCTAGAATCTTGATTGGATTACAAAAAAAATCAACTTTTGACCTGGAAACCTAAATATAATTAGAAAATGACCAACCAGATTTCTGCAAGATAAAGTCATCCCATTCAATAATGAAAAAACTAAAATGTTCAAGCTAAACTAAAGGCTAAGATGAGTAAACATGTAACATATCTATACAATTAAAATCCTTGTTCAAAAATAACATTCTATTACCAATTTTTATTAAAATTAGCTACCCATGGATTTAACACTAAGAAAAGATGTGAGAGGGTTGTTTTAAAAGGTAGAAAAAGGACTTTGCAATTAATAAAATGATAATATTCTTGAGACTATGCAAACAAAAATTGCAATAAAAATAGTACAGCTATTGGAAAGAGAGAGCAATAACAACGGAAGAGTCCTCCGACACGCCAGCAGAATCAAGCAACTTGTGTTTACTGACAAAAAAATGACAAGTTCAAGAGATATTGTATACTTAAAATAGTTTAGTTTAGACATGTTCTGGGATTGATCTGTTAATGATTTCTGAATTCTCCATCCAACCAGGACTAAAGTCACTTAGTAATAATAATAGTTAGCAAGGAAACTATTTAAGCCCAACATTACTAGACGAGAGCAAATTTAAATAATCAACAAATACAGAAGTCAAGAGAAAAATTTATAGGAAAATGTACGATGGTTCAAGTTCTCTGTCATTTGCTTCATACATTTTTTAATCAACACAGTGAACATTTTAAAGTCCAAAACCTTTTAGTTTTGGAGAAAAAAATGATTTAAAAACATTTGACAGCTGGCTAAGATGGAAATATGTACTCAAACAATGGTTCCCTATAGAAATTTCATATTGGTGTTAAGACATTCTTTCTTAAATCATATTATTTGTATGTGGCTTGTGACAAAATAAATAGATATACTAATAAAAAACAGAAGTAAGAAAATTTCTTCCATAACAGAGAGACAAAGACAAAGCGAATTGATTGATTTAGAATAATGGACAGTTTCTTTAGATGTCATTTTGGGAACCACTGCTTAATTAATGTTTAAAGTTTCAAATAATCTACCTGCTGCTTGTGGGATTTAAAAAATGTTCTAAAAAGCCCAATGTTACTTTCTTGTTCCACTACTTAGAACTTACAATTCAGAACATGAATGCAAATAAAGACTCAATGGACATTTTTTTAAAAAGACATTTGTGCACATTGTGTTGCAAGGTTGACGCTGTCAGAACAAAATCAAATTTTGAATTTTAAAAAATAGTCATTATCACAAGGATTAGATTCGTTCTTTACTAATAAAATGACTGCCATGTTGAGTTGACATACCAGTTGTTTGGACAGCAAGTGGTGAAAAGTTGTATGCCTTGTTTACAGATGAACCAGCATAGCCATGGACTCAACATTCTTCTCCCCTTTGTTTGGTTAGACCCAAGAGTGTCTGTGTGGTAGCCATCATCAGCAGTGTTCACAGTAGTCTTAAAAAACACAGGCAAGAAGAACATTTCCTGGAAAATGTTCCAAAATTCATTCTTTGAAAATCGTCGATGGAGTCACACAAATGGCCCAGCCTCTACGAGTCCAGAACCAACAAGAAAAAGTGGCTTTAGAATGTCTTTTACTGAATCATCTTTTTTGCTTTAAAAAATTATATATTTATGTATAAATGATGAAAAGCACAGTTAACTAGTGTCAAACTTCACTGTTCTCAGCAAAACATATTAAGAATTAAAACATGTGAGCAGAAAACACTAGGTCTGTGGGGCTAACCCTAAACAAATGTCCACATGATGTGTTAGGAAACTGGAACCGTATCAGTGTTTAATTAGTTAAAAAGCAGTCCTTTGTCTGTTCATGTTCAGTTTGTTGTTGCCCAACTGGAATATGTCTTAAGAATTGTTTTTAAACGCTTTTATTTATATGTATGTATATAAAAAAAAGTTAATAGAAACAGCTCAAGTCTGCTGTGACAGGTCGATTGAGTTATCAGCAGTGAAATGTGCCTTGCTCTTCTCCATTTCCTTTGAATAAATCTGCCAGCTATCCATAATATGAAAAAATCAGATTCCTTAAATGTGGGACAATCAGAAAGTAACATGTGTGGTGGATCCCTTCAGAAAAAGTTCATTTCCCTCCGTCACCTCCCCTCCTCAAGAGAACACCAATAAAAGTTGACCAAATAAAAATAAAGAAATATGGATATACTTAATGTTTTAAAAAGAAAAAAACTTCAGCTTTGAAGCTGCATCAAATTGTTATAAACTTTGGCTGATACTACCAAGAGCTACAAACCGGTTAAGGGAAAAAAAATGTTGAGAAAAATAACTGTTAAATTTGTTAAAAGCACAACAGATTTGTACTATTTCTCAAGGCCTTTGCCTGCTCCTCTGCAATTAAAAAAAGAAGCACAGGTCTCAAGAGGAGTAGATGCATTGTACACGCTGTCCTGTGCTGAATCGTAGAGCTTTTTTTGATGCCTTTTTTTTTTGCAGGGAGGAGGGAAGGCAATGCCTGACTCTGCAATTTAATTCTGACGTCCTCCACGGCTACCACCACTAGATCCAACATCGTGTCCACCTCTGCGGTTATCCTGTATAAGGTAGATCATAAAAATTATAGCATTGTGTGTCACAACACATAAACATCATTTGACAAAAATACATAGTTTCTTTAAAAGTTAAATACCAAGTAATGAGATACCAGTAGTTCAATAATATTTTTGAAAATTAATACACTGTAAAAGATCATATATCTTTCTTATTTATATTACATTTAATCTTATTAGTTATTTTTATTTATCTTTATAAATATTTTTGAGAATAGCAAAAAGTGGTGAAATTTTTAGTTAGCAAGAATGCTTATAGATAGACATAATTTTAGCCTGGTACACACCGAAGGGCCAGTTTTGCATAATACTCTGCGGTTAAGTTAGAAAAACTAACATAGAAAAATAATGATTTGGAGAAATATGCTATGAAAAATCTCTAAAGACTAATAGATATATAAAATTTAGAAAAGAATCTAGTAAAAATGTTGCCATAAGACATGTTAAGTAACATTCACGTTCTTGGACAATAGTTACATGACAAATTTATCTATTCCAATTCACTTCTATCTCTTTACAAATTATTTAATTAGCTAGAAACAACAGCTAAAAATGTCGTCGTCATTTCCCCCCCCCCCCCCCACTCAAACCCCAGACTAAGTTAATAAAAATTAAAAATTGGTGAGTAAGAAATGTGTTTCTTTTAAACTTATCAACAGTATACAATAAATCCTAACAGATGTCAAAAACTACCAGCAGTATACCAATATGTCCTAAAGGATGCCAAAACTATCAAAAACTAAAATTCCACTATACATTGGTTTATACTATATCAAATTAAGAACCCAGTAATGAAAAGTCTTTACTGCATTCACTCAACTATAAATATTTAATTCAAAAGGTTTTCTTTAAAAATATAAAGCTAACAATATATTACCCGATTTCGACCACCTGGACCATCTCCTCTGTCGCGGTCACCTCGATCCCTGTCACCACGGTCTCTATCACGATCACCTCCACCTCGATGATCCCTGTCTACGCCACGGTGGTCTCCTCTTGTGTCATTTCGAGCCTCACGTGGAGGAGCTGTGTGAGCATCCTCTTCTTGGCGCTTTTCATAGTGAGTAAAGTCATCAAAAATGGATGTGGTGTGCTTGTAACTGTGAACAATGCGCAAGACCTGCTTGCCCTTCTCAGGTGGTACTTCTTGGGTGTCTCTCGAGTTAGTCACTGGCTTGTTTTCATTGTTCTCCAGTCTGATGTGCCGAAGCTGACTGTTAGGAACATCTTTTACATAAACCCATTTTACAGCAAATTGACCCTTCCACTTGTCCTGGGCCCATACACCTGCACTTTTGTTGTAATCAACTGGGGACATCATTTGGGCTATTCCACAAAAATGACCACTTCCATTAACTGAGTAAATGAGGTAGACGGGTCCTTTGCCCTCACGTTCCCGAAAAGCCTGGTCCAAACGTTTGTTGCCATGTTCAGTGCTGCACCATATGTTGTACTTGATGGAGCGATGGATGTCATCCTCTGAGTAAGATTTAATGATAAAGAAACGAGCAGATTTTGGGTTCAGATTAAACTCCTTGGGGTTGTAGAGGTTGGAAGATTTCAGTTGGTCCAATACTGGATGAGAGATAACAGGAGCAATAGCATGGTTATTATTGTCACCGTTCGTTGTTGCACCATTGTTACTGGTATTACTTCTGTTGCTCGGAACCCCTCCTGTACCACCACCATAGCTTGAAGAATAGGTGGGGCTGTGACTACCTGTGTTTACAGGCCCACTGTTGACACTGCTGCTGTTGTTGTTTGAATTTAGGTTTGTGCTGCTGCTAACCGCAGTGTCATTACCAGGGCCACTGGTGGAGTGAGGCTGAATTTGTCTACTGCGGGCAGAAGTGTTAGCCCAGCTTTGGCGAGTCGGTGGAGGTTGAGAAGAAGGCTGTTGCGAAGGTGGCACAGATGTCTTGTTTGGATTGCCCCTGCCATCCCAAGTTCCTATATCCATGTTATGAGGTTTATTTGGGTGGACTGGAGCACGTGGAATAGTCCTGGGTCTAATTTGCTGCTGAGGTCTTGCCGGCTGGCTTGCAATAGCGGCCCAAGAAGACTTCTTAGGCTGGCTTTGACCACCACTGCTGCCAACACCCATCATTGATGAAGACTGAACTGATTGTGAATGTGATGGCATCATATGTGAAGTGTCCCCACCACCAAAGCCATCTGACATACCAGGAGGTTGGCTTATGTCAACAATTTTTTTCCTACCAGACGAATCCATCGATGAAGAGTTTGAAGAAGCCAGGGTCATGCCGCGCATTCCCTGTTCCACCGACCCTATTGGCTCCTGTGGTTCGGGCGGGGCCGATGCCCCATTAATCATGCCGTAACTATCAGGCGGAATCATTTCAGGAGAATAGTAAGCTTCTTCAGAGGCATAACCCCTTTGGTCTTTTCTGACAGCTTGAGAGTTGCCCCAATAGTCACTGGTTGCATACTCCCAGTTATTGAAAGGAAATCCAAAGCCACCATAAACATTGCTGTAGTCATAGCCCATACCAAACATTGTGTCAGCACCGTTTGACCATGGACCTTCAGAGCCTCCAATGCCCTGATTCATAAATGGGTAGGTCATGTTTGATGGATAGTAACTCTGAAAGAATGAGTCGGAAACTCCTGCACTGGACATAGCTGGAGCACCGTATGCATTCTTAAAGAAAAAGGAAAGAGAAAGATTGTCAACTGTGCAATATATGTGTGTATACATTGGTGCAGTCATTCATGGCAAGGATTACGTTTTAGGTCTAGTTAAAATAAAGGGAAAATTATAAAATATCTAGGATCGGATTTAGAATGCATGTTAATTTCTTTTTGAAATGCAAGATGTAAATTCTTAAAATACAAACTTAAAGTTCAATATTTTTAAATATTACAAATTCAGTGTAATTTTATACTAATGCAATGAACAGTTGAATTTGTCAGATAATTTTTTTTTTATGAATTCGAAATTATAATATTTGTGATTGAATCCCAAATAGACTATTTAAATTTATGAAGAAAAAAAAACAACAAATTTTCTAGCCATTTATGTAAATTAAGTGGCACAAAATTAATTTGTTAATATTGAACTGTAACAGTAATATCTCTGAGCTTCTGTTATATAAACTCAACAAAAGCCTTGAGCTTCTGTAATTTAATTTTGCATTTCTTATTCACCACAAGTACCAAGTATTATAACGGTAAAGAGGCAAACTTGAAATGCTTGATAAAAGACGTTTCCATTTAAACAAATAAATGTTCAGTTATTTACGCTTTCAATATCTTTAAGAAATTCATTTTATATTACCAATACTAAGAAAAAAATCATTCTTTGGCCTTGAACAATTGTAACTATAAATAGGAAGTATTTTAAATTAACAAATTTGTAAAAAGAAAATTGACTGATAAAGCAGAAAAATGTAATAAAAAGTAGTATCAGTTTATTTTACTATCTGCTACTATCTTTACTTGTGTTTAATTTTAATTTACATTTTGATTTCAACAGTATTTCTTACATGTTTAAAAATCTTTATCATCACATCTGTAAGTTAAAGTTAACATCTTGAGCTGTACATTGTACAGCTGTTGTAGTATATTGTGGGCTGGCAACATACATACACAATACTTACATATTTTTATCAACACTGATGAACCGCCATCGGCTGACGAGGCTTATTTACAAATTATTATTAGCATTTAATAGTAGCCCTACTGGTAGGCCTATTTTGTAGTTGGAATGATAAAATTTGGGAAATAAATTTCAAGTTTGATTTTGTTGGAGTGATCAAAACAAATAAGTGACTAACATGATTGAAAGGCATATAGCTTTTCATCCTTTCTGGGTAATTGATCATCAATAATAAAAAAAAAAAATCATCTGAAGGTGAACAGGCAGAGAAGACACTGAGAATACATTAGTGAAGTGGGGAAATTGGCAATAACAATGGCTTGGACTTGTGCTGCTCAGACTTATTTCCAGTTTGGGAAGTGTCTTTGAATTGTGTCATATCAGGAAAATCTTATATCCTAAAAACCTCTAACAATGATCTGACTCACTCCCTATCCTGGAACATGAATATCCTACAACAGCAGAGGTTGACGCCACATTCAATATGCACCACAATAATAATTTCAATACATTTGAAACATGAAAATTGTTGTAAAAGATCAGCAAAAATCATGTTACAAAATATTTGGAGAGCCTCAGAAAGACTTTAAAATACAATTTTAAAAAGACTTAAAATTAAGGATAATAAAAATAAATGGGAGATGAAAAAAAACATACATCTGGGGTCTGATCACTCCATGATCTCACATGCTGAGGGGGTGTTAAATAGATATCATCATCATTCATCACATCTTTTCCAGCACCATTGGACACTAAAAGAGAATAAATAATACTCATTTCAACAATAGACTACATTGTGCTTATTACTTAACAAACATAAAATGACAAGTTAAAACATATTACCAAATCATGAATAAATCAAACAGTTTCATTGTAATAACAATAAGTTCACTGCTAAATAAAAAGAACTGTAAAAAAATGTTATAGAAACTAAATTTACCTTGATTAGACTGGCCCTTTGACCTCTGAATAACATGAAAAAAGAAAATTGTACATTTTGTTAAGTATTTGTTAAGTATTTGTATTTTATAATAATAAGTGGTCTTTTATAGCGCGGTACTCCAGCCTAGGGCTGGGCTCACCGCGCTGTACATAAAAATATTATCAAAAGAGACAATCATGACATTAAATAAAATACAATTATGAAGTAAAGAACAGCATGAACCCCAGGACTTTTACAAGGCAAACCATGGACGCCAGCGAACAAGATCATTTATCGGTCAGAGGAGGAGATTCAGTCAGGGTGGTATAGTTTAAAGAGAAGTGTTTTGAGTGCAGTTTTGAATGCCTGGGTGGTTGGTATATTGCGGATGTGTAGTGGCAAAGAATTCCATTGTTTGGGGTGCAGAAAGAGAAAGATCGTTCACCATATGTTTTAGTGTGTGTCTTGAGAATGGACAGAATATGTGTGTCTGCGGAGGAGCAAAGCTGTCGAAGGGGTGAATAGTCTTAATACACTCAAACAGAAGAAAATCACATACATTATACATGAAGTGAAAATGCATTTACCACATGATTGTGAACTACCGGTACATTAATGATTTTTGGGTTGTTATTCCTTAAAATGGAACAACATTGACAACTATTTAATTGTCACTAAACATGAACAACAAAATTAAATTTATTACTTAAAACAAACAAATAATTCAGTACTGAAGCTATTTATGCCCAGCAGTACATAGATAGTACATTGACTGTGACAAAAGCATTTTGAAAAGAAGAGAATTTTAGACCATATGCCATATGGATATTGATGATTTTAAGACCACTCGATTCCCATGATGAAAAAACGTATGGACTTTAGAGCGTTCCTGTCTCCATACTGTAATTTGGTATTCTACTGTGGCAGAAATCTGAAGAATGGCTAAAGGGTATGGTAAACCCAAAACTGAAATTTCAATATTTTACATGCAACAAAAAATCTCATCCAATACCTTATTAGAAAAATTATTAACATTACTTTTTAACCCTTTTAGCATCATTCTTATATGAACTTGAAATAAGTGACATTATACATCTCATCTATGGCCAAAAATTACAGAAAAAAATTACAGTCCTTTCCTGGACTTTCCAAATTTTTTATGCAAGATTTTTAAGTGCCCCACTCTATTTTCAACTTAACTTTGTTTTAGATCAAAGTTTCTAGAAATTTTCAGTGTGATGGACTGGCAGAAGCAATGCCATGCCATTACAGCAGGGACCAGTGTTCAGTTAATTATTGTAATTTTGTTTCCAGTGTCCACAACTTTGTGAGTTGTATTGCTATAGACTATGGCAACATTGAGAGCTGTCTCTAACACCTTAACAAATGAGTACTTGGGGTGGCCATTAAATTTAAGTTACGGAAGAATTCATTTGTAATATGAATACTGCCATGAAGATACTGCTTAAGAGGGCATATGATTATGAGGGGAAAAAAGGCAACAAATACCTAATACCGGTTAACTATCAGCGAATACAGCGAAAGGAAGAACATTTACAGTTCCCACAATTATCTGTCATAAATACTGGGTGTAAATAAATCTTGTAGCCCAGGCCTGCACAACATACGGGCCGCTGCATTCGGTCCGCCAGCACCAACTTGGCGGCCCGCCAAGTAACAAAATATTCTTTATTATTATTATTTTCTTAATAGCATTCGCCTCTGCCCTATTATCTTTCGGCCAGCACAAGTTTTTCATAAAGTATTACGGCCCGCCTTACATTTCCAGTTGTGCAAGCCTTTTGCCCATTCATTTTGTAGCATCCTCACTACTCACTGTGTAACAAATACATTTATGAATCATTACAATATTCAACATTGAGTAGTCTACAAAATATTACACACTGCTTTTCTGACAAGCACTTCTTATGTCATTATGAATTTGAAAATTTAAATACCCTACATGCCTAGCTAAATTATAAAAAGTAGAACATTATTCTTAGCCCAGATAGGCGTAGGCAAACTTTTCAATATTTAATTTTAACACTAGGAACATGTTTGTTAGGCCTTCCAGATTTAGTAGACATCTAACGTGGATGTGACTTTTAGGCCTATATTATTTACAAATTACAGACTGCTCTCTATGTAAAGGTAAAAGTCTCAGTGACTCACTTATTAGTAAGGTAAGGGTTATGGTCAAGCCTGCCATTACATATTTGTTAGCCACTACTTTCCACTAGACTACAAGTTATTTGCTTGGCTCAACTTAGGTACAACAATTTAATTTCTTTCGCCTAGGTCAAAAGATTTTTTCCATAATAATTTGTGATTCAACATGCATCGATCAAGCTAAACTGGTGATATCAGTTGTTGGAAAAATAAAGTCTGAATTATTAATTAAAGTACCTGTATGCTATAATTTCTATATGTTGCAATTTAACGGGCCATGTCAACATAATTTTCAGGGTTCATGGGGGTCACTGGGTGTCTTCCACCCCTTAAAAAAAATTATTTAAAAAAGAGAGAAAAAAACTTCATATCCTATAAAAATAGAAAAAAAGAACGTTGACCTAGGGAACCTCCACAATTTATTTGCCCATTAAGGCTCATTCTTGTAGATAATTTGATGCTTTAAACAGTAGTTATTAGTTAAGAAAATCATGACTCCTGAAAAATGTATGAGAAATTAGAAGGTGGACTTTTAACTTCATTTATTGACTTAAAACATTTTTTTCAATCTTGATAAATAAACAGAAAACACAGTATTGTTCAGCATCCAATTCGCTTTTAGATGATATTTGACACAACAAAGAAATGACATCAAACCGCATTTTGTCCCAATTCATTTGCGAGCTTTTTTTTGTTGGTTTTCTTTTTTTTTTTTTTTTGTTTTTTTCAAGTGGACAAAAAGTTCAAGGAGCACATAACTCTGCAACGATTTGCCACTATCAGAAAAAATTATTTATCCAAGTAACTAGTACTGTATACAACAAAGAAATGACATCAAACCGCATTTTGTCCCAATTCATTTTCGAGCTTTTTTTTGTTGGTTTTCTTTTTTTTTTTTTTTTTGTTTTTTTCAAGTGGACAAAAAGTTCAAGGAGCACATAACTCTGCAACGATTTGCCACTATCAGAAAAAATTATTTATCCAAGTACCTAGTACTGTAACTTAACTGGCTTATAATTGTGGGTATGTGTGTATGTGTGTGATAAGTGAGCTCACAGTGTAAATTAGTAGGCAAATAGTGTTTGTATACCAATGGAAATGGCAAGGTTGAAGGTGGTTGTATACATGAGCCACCAGACCAGGTCAGTGACATCTTTCGACCAGATTGTGGGGAATCAGTTAAATAATTTGACCGGGGAACTGACAAAATTTGGGCTTGGCGTGACCGTTGTAAGGATATAATTAGATCCTCGTATAAATGAAAGCTTGAAGAATTGTTAGATGAAACTAAACACAACAGAATCTTTTGCCACACCTCTTTCTATCACAACGCTGACGTCGACTAATCTTAAACATGGCCGCATTGCGGAACTTTCTCTCAGTAAACCTAGTTTTTACCTGATCGACATTTGCAGACATCCCACTGAATTTTGAACCCCCACTGATATATAAAAGTGTTCGTTCACAGTCTTTACACACAAAATATATTAAGGTCAATCCAAACTGATTCGAAAGATATCACTGTGCACAAATTAAGGAAAAAAAGTCACAAATTATCCACAGGAAATTCCCTTCCTCAACATGGAACAATGGCGGCGACTACGCATGTGCCTCGATTCTGCGTAGACTCACGTGACAAGGGGCATTTATTGTTATTCGTCAACATTTCTTCCGTATAAGTTTTGTTTTGTAACATACATTTCGATATGAGTACACTTATTGTTATCCCTACATGTGTATCATTTATTTAATAAAAATAAAATTAGTAATTACAATATCAAAAATAAGGTATTACAAAGTTGTCAACGTAGGATGTCATTTATAGAAATATTAGCAATATCAAGTTTTCCAACTGCACAATTTGAGGCCAATTAGGCTAGGACATCCAAAGACGATGTCTGTTAACAGTTGACAGCAATTTTTATTATACACATTAAGATAAAATTTAAAGTTTAAATTAAATAAACAAAATTAAACTATAATCAAGACATAAATATCCAAAACGTGTTCTGGTATGAAATTATTTATTTCATAAGATATAGATTTCTATTTAATTTGTGTCTGAGATGATCTTTTAAATTTCAAATCCAAACATAGAGTGGTTGTATTTGTATTAAACTAAAATTCAGTTATTTCTTTATTTTCTTTTTTTTCTTAATGAGCGTTCATTCACATATAACTTATTATAACGTCACGACATTTTTTAGGCATGCTCTCTTTCATCGTGACACTTCGTTGTCGGTTTTTTTTTTTTTTTTTTTTTTTTTTTTGTTTTTTTTTCTATATTTTTTTTTTTTTTTTTTTTTTTTTATTTTTTTTTTTTTAAATTATACTAAAAATGTTTGTTTTTTTTTTTTTTTTTTATTTTTTTTTTTTTTTTTTTTTTTTTTTTTTTTTTTTTTTTTTTTTTATTTTTGTGCTTGTATGACTACAGATTTTTTTTTTCTTTTTAATATAAACATACTCTCTCCAATAAAAGGTAGGTTTCGTGGATAAAAAAATATATTTTAAATTACTAGCTTATGATAGATGTATATTTATAAGTTCAAAATGTTAACAGTGGATGTGGTTACTAAGACTAAATGATTAAACTTCGGAACAGTCCGATAAGAGATTTAGTAGGAAAAAAAAAAGGGGGGGGGGGGGATATAACGGTGGGTA